GAACAACCAATTGGGTAGACTCACGTACTCGGATTTTTTTTATGCCATGTGGACCGATTGTCCCAACCTGACTGGGTGTCGGGTGCTGACTTCTGTATTCCCCATTGCGACCATTCTCGTATAATGAGGAAAGGTTACGTGTATGCGACTGGGACGTAGGGGAAGCCGTCGCCAAGATCGGCGGGCGCTATTATTTTCCATCTGAAACCATGTGTTTGGGGTTCGTGGGTGCTGGTTTTGTCATTATCAACACCCACTTTCCCCCGTACTCTTTGTTATTGCGTTTTAACGATTCGGAACTGATTGTCATCCCGAGGACGACAGTAGCGTCCCACTGGCCCAACACTTTGTGCAACGATTGTCGCCGCACCGAGCATTATCGAGAGAAGTGGTTCCACTACTGAACACGTGGCGAGGACGAATACAGGGAAAAAGCGATCAGGCTAAGACCATCCATGTCGGATTCCAAACTCTGTAGCGAACATCGTTTAGACTTAATTTGAAAATGAAATCCTGCATGTTTACCCTTGCCTTTTCGTTCGAAAAGACGACGAGTAGCTCGCATGGAAGTTCATAGATACTTTTTGACTTGAGTGAGCATTTGAAAGTACCACTCGCCATTTCTTTTCTTCACGACCATGGTCCTTCCTCACAAAATTGGAATCTCATGGGGCTTTTTATTCCGTCCGTGACCTCACACTAAATATTCCCAAAAACCTTTGGCACACACCATTTTTTTGTCCTTTAGGGCCTATTCCACACAAATTATCACTCCGACCGAAGGACAGGACATGGCGTGAAGTTAGAACGTCACAAACCAAGTCGAAAACAGTATGGTGTGCTGACTTACTCACACTAGGTTTATTTTTGGCAAGATTGCAAAATTTGTCATGGTTTGGTAGTACCACCTTGCCCGCCTGATAGTTAGATTTGCAATTGGTGAAGCAAAATATCAGCCTCCAGGGCAGCAGGGTTGCGACCACCTATAGTAGGGCCTCACCGGACGGTAAGAAAAATAAAATGAAACGACCTCCTAACTTGCGAGGGCTCACGAGGTTAGATTTCGTTGTTTTGGGTTGTCTCTATTATCACCGCCGCATAACACATGTGAATATCCATGCAACAATACCCTAACCAGTGCGGTTCTCGTTCATGTTGTGTGGTGGTGGGCAGTTTACTCTTAAGGGTCCCACACCTTTCCTGAACGCAGTGGCGTGAGGTACCGGCCAACACGGGTCACCCACACCTGTGGGCGGATGGTGGTGGACCGCCTGATCCTTTAGGGTCAGCAAATGGAAAAACTTGAATGCATCCACGAGGAATAATGTGTTTCTCTGCATGCTCGTGAAACCTGGTAAGCGCTACAGTCCAAAATTTGAATGGACACCGGGTGAACATCATTGGCACACTCACGAGGACCCATAGGACCTCCACCATCCTCGTCGAGGACTTATGGGTTCGTGCGTTTTGCAGGCTGGGCGGCAGTCGCCCATGCGTTTTCCTCGCGAACCCGTTTTCTTACAAAATTTGCGTGTTGCTCCTGACAAGAATCGCGTTTGTGATGTGCAGTAGCGCCTTCACGAAACAAATTCTTATATTTTTTTCGTTTGGCCCACCGTCCGGCGAGGCTCATAGAGTTGTTGGCAAATTTTTCGGTTTTAGTTTTTTTTTAACCCACAAATCGGTGAGCTGAAATAAGAGAATTGTAGTTAGGGTCGTTACGGATAGGTGGGTTGGGGATGGGGGGACGGGGGGGG